TAGGTTTATTATTTATCATAAGAGACATATCAAAAAGCATCAGGTATCCTCCATCTTTATTACAGTCCGTACCAGATTCGATTAAAGGATGGAACCAGCCTAAAATTTTTAACCATTAATAACCGGAACTTTCAAATAACCGAGCCGTGGCCGAGTCGTTGTTCCAAATTTTATATAATGTCAGAACTCCGCGAAATTCTAAATTAAATTAAAGTTTCAAATTTTTAGTTGAATGGGATTCCGACAACTCTATTTTTGGTTAAAACTTATAATTATCTATTTTTGAAACATAAAACTTTTAAGTTGTTAAAATAAAATAATTAAAGTCGGGATTCACTCAACAGCTGAGACCAAAGGATCTAATTTGAGCCGATTCCAGAATTTTTCACGGCTGATACGATTCTTTCAACCCAAATTTATAATGCAAAAAGTTATAAAACAATAAATATTTAATTATATACAATAGATTAATTTTAGTTTTGTAATAAAATTCTTTATAATTTTTTTTTTGTCCTTTATAAGAATTTTAAAAAAAAATATCAAAAAGTTCAAATAATAATCTTCAAACAGCAAATAACCATTGCCATACTGTACGAAAAAACTTTTTTGGGGGGGCAAAAAGCTCGAAAAATAGACGAACAATGTGGCTGTAACTCCAATGCGCCATATAAACAATATCTAAAAAATATACTGAAAATTTTTTTCTTTATAACTAGCCTCACCCCTTCTTGTGATACACAGTCGTGATCTGTCGATCAATGATCATCATTTTTTTTTTGTTAGAATCAGATCAAATATTCTCAAATATTTTTAATATTAACGTAATAGATTTTAAGTGATCCAAAATAATACTATTTCATTTATATATAGGTCTTTTTTTTTATAATGATAGATTAAGGGCATTTTATGTTTTGATTGTTGATATCTTATCATATCACATGAACATTTCATTTACTTAAAAATTGTAATATATTTTTTTATGCTTATTTATTAATTAAATCGAATGTAAGGTTAAAAATTAGCATGTAGCAAATTTTATTGAGATTAGAGATATGTTACATAAAATAAAAAAGAATGAAATTATCAAATAAAGTGTGTTACGGTTAAGATCTAACATGGGTGATCTATAAAACATTCATAATTTTTATAGGTTGATTATGATGATCAGTTTATGTGAAGTTTGTTTCAAGATCATATGAATTTAAGATTTGATAAATTCAAATTTTAGAAAATAAGAATGAGGTTTTTAGAAATTATCATATTTTAATTTGTATTTTGTTTTTTAGGACTGTATATATTGTGCCTCAGATGTCGATCGCAACTAAGGCACTCAAATGTCGATCATCATGTAATGCGTCTCAGGTGATGTTGTGTTTAATAGTTGTGATAAACCATGAGAATATCAAAGTCTCGCATTAAAATTTTTGTTCATTTTATTACAATAAATATGGAATACAATTTTATAAGCAAGTTACATTTAATGGTATTATAAACCATTATTTATCTAATCTGCCAAATAGTCGTCAAGAAAAAGCCTTAGTTAATTTAGAACTTTTCGCAAGAATTAAAAAAAATATTACTTGACTCTTCTAACATAAATACAGATAATAAAAATACAAGAGACTGGACTGGGCTAAAAAACGTTTTATTCTTGAGGAAATTATTCTAAAAGATTATAGAATTATAGTTAGAAGTTGTAATTAACCTGTTTTAGTAGTTGAAAATATGTATGAAGTATTATGCAGAACTCATGCCGAAGTTGATAATCATGCAGGTCAAAAACAATTATAGCAATCAATTAATCAACATTGGGGTTTTTTAAGACAAACCATAATTGAAAAATTTGTCAATAATTGCACTTTATGTGCAAATAAACTAATAATTGCAAAAAATTTTATTTCTTGTTTACAGGCAAATATTAATTTTTTATTAAAAAATTTGTCGATCGACTTGATTGATTTATCTTATGATATTGATGGAGATTATAAATATATTTGTCATATTCGAAATCATTTCACAAGATTTTCATAGGCTAAACCTCTTATATCAAAAAAGCCATTGAAGTAGCAGCTTACTTGTTTGATTTATTTCAAATTATTGGATCTTCTTCATTTATTTTGCAGTCTGATAATGGAAAAGAATTTTGTGCTGAAGTAATTAAAGAACTTGTTAATATTTGGCCATCTGTTAAAATTATCAATAGAAGACCTCGCCACCCTCAATCCCAAGGTTTAGTAGAAAAAGCAAACGGTATTTTACAACAAAGATTAGGAAAGTGGAGAGAATATACCAGAAGAAATGACTGATCATTTGGATTCCATTTGGTAGTTTTGTCTATGAATTATTCCATTTGTAGATCACATAAAAAAACGTCATATGAACTTGTTTATGGTGATAAATCTCGTGGAAATTTTAGTTTAATTGATGAATTATTTACCAGAGGCATTTACGATGAGGTAAACATCTCTGAAACAATCAAAATAGTTGATCTTGATGAGCAAATTCAAAATTTAGATGACGATGTTAAGCTTAAGCTGTTCGCCGTTAAGTTAACAAAGATTATTTGCTAGCAGGGAGTTTACGTACGTCTAAACTATGAAAGAATAAACACAAATAATTAAATTGAAGGGTCAGGTCGTCTTTATTGATATAGATTTAAAGAAAAATGAATTGTTTAACGAGTTTTAGAGATAAATATTATTGATTTATTAGAGAATTGGTAGCGACTCTGCCATTTATTGAGGCAGAAATACAAGATATTTATATAAAATACATCAATATGAAATAGATATTTAAGATAGTAAAGTAATATAAGAAATATAAGAAAATAAAGAAATTAAATATATTAAAGAAATATGTGAAATTAGAGTGGAATCTGAGAAATCAGAGAAACGGTAGAAAGTTGAGAATCGTGATCGACATGATTACCATTCGATTAGGTTAAGCGCAGTATCGTGCGTCATAACAAGACTATCACTAACAACGATATCATTGAAAAGAATTGGTTAGGTAAGAAATTTTTTTAAATTAATTAAATAATTTAATTCAATAGGCCTTTTTGAACTAATTAAAATTTGCCTTTTAGATATCTCTAATGTAAGCAGGGTCATAATAGAATTGGAGACGATCATCGACATCGAAATTTAAATCCGATTTGAGTATCAAAGTCGATGACGATAATCGAAATTGAAATTTAAAATTTGATTCGAGAATCGAAGTTGAAGACGATAATTGAAATCAAATTTTAAATTCGATTTGATCTAAATCATTTGAGCTAATTTTTTGTTATAGAATCACGTGAGATATTCATAGTTTAGTATTTTTATTTTTGCTTTATTTTTTAATAATCTTGTAATACAATATAAAATTTTAATAAACTTATGATAGTTAAAAAAAATGAATATTAAATATGAAAATAATCGGGGTTACTAGTATCTTGTGAATCATTATAAACTTAGAATAATAAAAAAAGATTTTAAGATATTATAAAGAAAGAAGTAATAGCTAGCACCTATATTCTTAAGATCGCTATTATTACAATGAATACTTTCGATTAACTATCTACCATTAAACATAATTTGATTATTATCTTATATTGTTAATTCTTTAAAAATTTCTTTAATAGTGCATTCGTTTAATATTAAATGGATAACTTCGCTACCAATAAAGTCATAAATTTTATTATTTGATAAAATTTTACAAATTATTGAAATTATTAACTTAATATTTTTTTAATTATATTTAAAATAAAATTACTATAAAAAGTTTTTTAAGTAAATTAAAAGCAAATTATAAGAAAAATATAAGGGATATGTATTGTCAGATTTCTTTAATCATGGAGAGTTTGCTGATTCATTCTATTCTGTTGGATAAATTATTTTATATTGACTCTTTTGTTTACTTTCGATTAACTTGTTCATGAGATACTTTTCAAATATGTCGGTTTAAAAAGAAAAATGTAAGGAACAGTTGAAAAAATAAAAATATTTGACTTAAAAGTAACGCGTTAAACTTGTGGATTTGGTTATCGTCTAGAAAACTTTTTCTCAGATATTCAGATCTATCTTTTGAAAATTACATAAAATACAAAATTATTGGAAAAAAAGATATGAATATCCTATATTTTTGCATTAAATAGATGAATAATGTATATTAACCTTTTATAGTATAAAAGAAGATCACATCACATCACCAAAGAGAACCATTAAAAAAAAATAAAAATCTAAAGCAAAATAAAATTAAAAGTTTGCTGCTAAGCACACGAAATGATCGATCTAAAAATAAAACAAAAAACATTTCCGTGATAAACCGATCCGATCTTTTACCACGCATTGGAAAAATCGGTGAAGCAGATGTCAGAAGGCTACTGCGAACCAATTTTTGGCGCAGTTAGATTCCGAGAGTGACATATCTGTTGTAATTGACATATTGGACCCTTAAGAAAGTTCAGTCTCGGGATGATGTATATATATGTCAAAATGACCGTTTTTGACATAACGAAGCAATTAATAACCATTTCCATCAACCAAGCCGCAAGAATTAGTTAGTAATCCTGCCAAGAATTCTAAAGCTAAGCAAATTTATTATAAAAGAGAAGTTTTCGTCTTAGATTTAGAATTATAATTAGATAGTTTTCTTTTCTCTTCTGGCCTATTACAGAGCGCCGGCTATTTATCTCTATAAAGCTTTATTTGATTTCTTTAATCAATTGATTTACAATACAATTCGCTAAATACATTGAGTTCCACATAATAAACATAATAAACATAAAATCACCTTTTACGAATATAAGAGGTGACGCAGAATAATAATAAAAAAATTTTTTAAAGTTTGATCAATTCACACTAATAATAATCTTATTTATTTTGAATATATTATTGATGAAAATATATTCATAACATAACTCATATCATTTTTAATTAAATAAAACCAATGTAACATTGTAAATTACTAATATTAAAGAGAAATCAACTTAGAAAAGAGTAATTATCCTGCATCTATTATTCGTTATTAATTTCAAGTGCTATATGATCTAAAAGAGGTTTAAATTTTGCTTCTAAATCTTCAAATTTCTTTAATAAAATTTCGCAACCTTCAGAATTTGATTTTTCAATTTTGGTTTCTACTTTCTTTGATAAAACCTCACTTCCTTCTGTCTTTGGTATTTCATTCTTCATTTCGGCCAAATTTCTTAATCTTAAAGAAATATATTTGACGTCCGATAATGAATTATCTATTTCTATAATCTTTTGTCTAACCTTTTCAATCGGCATCTCATAGAATCTATATGACAAAAAAATAAGATTAAAGTTTTATTGCACATTTTCTACCAATTATAAATAACTTACATCAAATCTGGAAACCAATGACTCCATCTTCGCTGATTTGGAAGCAAAAGGAAAATTTCAATTTCAGCCAAAATTTTTTTTTTCTCAAGTATAAACCGATAATGTGTTCTATGGTTATCAATTTCTAAGTTAAGCAATCCAATAAATAAATTCATAAGATATACCACAATTAGAAACGAGAACATAGTTAACAGAATTGTCATGAAGGGATTTTCTAAATATGTCCATGAGTCAAGTGCCGATGGATTTCCCGTTAAAAACAAATACATGGCCAAGAGTGAAGTTTTATAAGTAGTAAATTGATTTACATTTGAATCAGGTAGTTTACTATAAACTATTTCAGAGCCGTCAGGAGAAACAGATTGATATTTATCTACAAGATTCCATGGATTATTTGGATCATCATTCATTACTGGATGATTCATATCATATATCCCATTTGGAGTCAAAATAATATAAAAAGCATGAGCAAAGCCAATTAAAATAAGAAACAAGATCAATAAGAAAGAAAATATCCTCCTAGCTACACCAACAATAATTGTAAAATTAGAGCCAAAGTAATCTAGTGCTCGCAAAAATGTGATAAATTTAAAATGTAAGAATAGATTTGAAATAGAAATCAGCGGTAATTGAGGTTTTCCACGATTTAGCCAAAAGATAGCAGTATATACTGGGAAAATATATGCGGCAAGATCTATGGATAAAAACATGTAAATTTTTTGTTGATGATTTTAATAAATGTAGAAGTAACTTTATACATACCAAACCAATTCCATAGATCTGTAATATACGCTTTCCAATCCCAAACAAATTGTCTAAGTTCATGTAACATATGAAATACACCAAGAAAAATACTAAGATATAAAAGGTTTTCTGTTGTAACAGATGAGGACAGGGTTGAAGCTAATCCAAAAGAAAGCAAAAACACGGTAAAAATTCCCCACACAAAACGATAGTAATATTTTCCAAAAGTATTCCATTTGAAATTAACTATAGCCTCGGCATTCCAACTCTCATAAAATGCTTGGTCATCCAACTCAATAAATAAGTTGGCTTGCGGTATAGATAATTCCATCCAAAAATTATATTTAGGAGGATACTTTGTAAAACCCAAGTATGGGATAACAAAACTGATAACCTTTTTGTTTTTAAATTTTGCAATATTGAAATTGCGGAGAATTGTATTATAAAGATCTTGAATGACTATATTCAATTTAAAATATGACTGGATTATAATTAGATTAAGAAAATTTTGAAAATATTGTTTTGCGCAACATCTATATATTTGAACAGAATTCGCATGATCAGTATAACCAACCAATATACTTTTTTTGGATAAATAAGATTTAGTAATATATGGATTTTGAATAATTGAGGTTTTAGAAAGGAAATCTAGGTAATGGATGAGAAATTCTGAATTCAACCTTTGAAGAACATTTGTAATAATTCCATAGATTTTAAAATGAGCCAAAAGAGTCACAGTATCATCGGTAAGGTATCCATATAATATTCCGAGGCATCCATCTAAAATTTCACTTTCTTGTTGCATAATAGCAAAATCAATAATTTGATCGCTCATTTCTATGATATACGTATTAGCATGCAGAAGTTCCATGATCATATTTTTTTTGTCCTCCTCAAAATCTTCATACCCCTCATCATTTTCATAAAAATTAAAGTTTGGACATGGAAGTCTTTTGCAATCAAAAAATTTGTTTACATCACGATCAAAACGATATAAATATTTCATGACAATCTTTTTGGATTTAAGACCAAAAATAATGATTCTGGATTTGTTATAGAAAATTACGTCATGGTCATCCAAAATCTTAAGTTCATAGGGTTTGAGATCTAATTGAACTAATTTCTTTACAGCTAATGGATAATTTCCTTTTACACCTTTTAAATATTTAGTTTTATTAAAAACTGATAATAAATTATTTAACTCAGAGAAAACCCACCTCAGTTTTTTTCCTACGACACGAATCTCTTTTTCATTTTTATTTATTTTAACACTTTCCTTATAATAATTTTTTATTTCTTTTATTTCTTTGAATCTTGAATAAATAGATAGCTTCGAATTATTATAAAGCTTTTCAGTATTCTTATCGGGAACTATAAAGACATTATCATAAATCTTTATGATCATTTCATCTATCTCATAATCATCATTCTTATCATCATTCTTATCATCATCATTCTCATCATCATCATTCTCATCATCATAATTCCCATCATCATCATTCCCATCATCATCAATCTTATCATCATAATTCTTATCATCATAATTATAATTATAATATTTCTTCTTGTCTGGAACAATAAGGAAATTATCAATAAGCTTTATAATCATTTCATCATTCTTATCATACAGCTTGTTAATAATTTTATTATTCTTATTGGGAATGATAAGTTCGTTATCATACAGCTTTTTGATAATTTTATCATTCTTATCAGGATCTCTATGTTCTATTAATAGTCTAAGTATTTTTTCATTATATTGCGAGGTTGGTAATTTTGTAATTGTGTAAATTCCATTGGGTAAAATATTTTGAATATCATATTTATATTCGCACGTGTATGAGAGCTCATAGGGATCCGTAACCACATATCTAATAATCTCTTTGTCTAATGAATATAACATCAAAACTTCAGTATTATTGCTGTCTATAAATCGGATATTTATATCGTTGCCCTTAAATTTGACTTGTCCTATGAAAGATCGGTCAATCAATCGGATAGGTAAAAAAAGAGACAAAACAGCAAATAACCTTTGACTACTTACTTGATGAAATTAATATGCCATCCATGATTGAATATACGCATAACAAAAGGTTGTTTGCTTGTTTCAAGCATATTGCAAATAAACTTTCGTCGTTATTTACTGCCCCAATCCAATCACATTTTCCTGGAAGGATGTATTTATTTTTGATAGTCCAATCTTCCGTATTTAATTGAATAATCATAATTGAATTTTCTAGGGTAAAAAAAATTTGTCCATTTATTTGCTTCATTTGGATATTATTTCGAAAATCGACCACTTGTGAGTTTATTCGATCATCGACTATGCGTAAGCAATATTTTGAAGAATATTTGTATGGTGAATCTTTTTTCAAAGTCGTTTCTGTAAAAACATATATATATTGTTCTCGCAACAATAAAAGATTTCCATTTGGAAGAAATTGTAAAAAATTTCCGTAATTTGGATTTATTGTGCTATGTTCCAGAGTTTCCATATCTAAATCTAGGATAATTAAACTATAATAACCAGTTTCAATCTCAAAACCACTAATCAATAATTTATTATCTGATAATCGTAGTAGCGAGAGTGATTTAAGTGAATCATTCAGAGTATGATCTTTATATTTTGTGATTTTATTATTATCTAATTCAACGGTCCACATTTCATAAACTTTATTATCACTAGTAACCATATATGTCATATCCGGGGAAAAAACAATGTCTTTAATCTCTTGCCTATCATTTACTTCGGTATAAAGAAAACTTACGTCACCAGTTTCAACTCTTTTTTCAGGCATTTATAATAATATTATTTAGGGACTCAATTAAAAAAAAATTGTAATTTGGCTATTATATATAAATATTTTGTCTTAACTAAATTTTAATTTAAATGGTTATTTTTGAAAATTGAGTAACGTAATATGTTACACTACATACGGAGCGTCGCTCCGTAAGAAGAATTTGCATTGTCCTATTACAAATTTACATAAAAGGTATTATTCAATAACATATGCATCGAGAATCAGGTTTTTCAACAAATTTGAGTTCTCGAGTTGGTTACATTAAATTTATATAGGTAATAAGTAAATATTTTAAATTAAAAGATTTCGTCAAACAAATAATATCTTTTGAAATCTTTTTTTTTTTTATAATTTATTCACAGCTTATGATAGCTTGCATGATTAAATCTACACTTTTTATTTTAATTAATTTAAATACATTGATTATTCAAATAAAAGTTTATATAAAATGTGTGTATGAATCCTTTTCGCAACAAATCATAGATTCTTGTGTGACAAATAAAAATAAAATGCTGCAACATATTTTATGCAATTAAGAATTCGGATATTGTTTGGTGTGTTATTTTTGGTTAACGTTACTTCGTGACGGTAAACAATGTAAATAATCACCGTACAATATCTATATTTTCGTACGACTACACCAGATCATGCTTTATAAAAAGCTTATTGGAATACAATACATTTTCCTTAATTTCTATTAATCCTTAATATTATTCAAACAATATGCCACGCGCAAAATTATAAAAAAAATAAAGTTTTAAAATTTTAGTTAAATTATTCTTCCGCGGCAGGGAATATAATAAAAAGAACGAATGGAGCTATCGAACTATTATGTTAAATAACGTCAACTTTTTAAGTGAATAAATAATTTCTAACTCCTCAAATGCAAATCCTTAAACTTTTTTAATATGTCAATAATTTCACGCAACAATTCATAAATAATGATATAATTTTAGATACCAGCTCTTTAGTGGAAGTTTAGAAAGGCTAATATATAACTTCAATATTAAACGCAAATAAGCTACTGATATTTAAATAATGATCCATTATAAAATGAAATTAAAATTACACAATATCATTATATAATTTTGTTAAGGAGTTTGATAAGTGGAAGTTCCTTATAAATTTCTATTTAAAGTATCAATATAACGAATACATAACGAACTCTTGATTTAACGAACCTTTTTTTAAAAACTATTTTCATAATAATGTACCGAAAATTTTTGATATATCTAACTATCACGTGATTGATGATTATTTAAACTATTTCATCAAAAAAAATATTAAAAAAGGAAGTATTTTTTTTTTGAACATATTTTTATGAGTAATATAATTTAAACATTTTATTATAGAAAAGTTCATAATTTTTTATGTGACACGAAAAACCCGTGACTTTTGATATATCGAACTTTATTCTTGTTTACCGAAAACCTTCTACCAAAAATTTTTGCCTGAACCGCAAGTTCGGTATATCTAGGCTTGACTGTAAATAGTATCTATTATTTTCATTTTCTAATTCTGATAATTTGAGATAATACTTCTTGTAATGAATTATTAATATTAGAAATATCAACGTTATTTAAGCGGATCGAAGATTCGATTCATTTGAACATTTTCTGTCAAAGTTGGCTCATTATCCAAGCATTCTAAAAATGCAAAATTTAATATTCAAAATACAATCGACCCCTTCTATAATCACAACCCTCAGGACCATTCAATGGTGCGATGACTGAACAGTGACTGAGTCGCTATTCCAAATTGATAAAACGCGAAATTTTCAATTAAATAAAAGTTTCAAATTTTAGCCGAATGAGAAAGTATACCTTATAATATCTATTTTATGTAACATTAATTAAATTTAAAAAAATTTTTGTTAAATATTTAAGACGTTAATATAAAATGATTGTTGTAATTTCAAATGAAATTCGGGACTAGTTGACGGCCGAGTCGACTGAAAAGGTCTATTGGCTTACTGAGCTGACTCCAAAATTTTCCACGGCTGGTACTACGTACAGTATTTGATCTTATTAACGAATTACAATCTGTTTATTAATTACTATATTTTATTGAATTGAGTCTGGACGTCTAATCTCACGATGTTAAAATTCTAAAAAAAAAAATTACTTTATTTTACTTTACTCGATATTCATTTCTCATCATCTACAACATTTTTTTTTTTTTATTTTTTGAAATCATTGCAATTTATATGATACTTAAAATCAGAGAGAAAAGTTTCAGGCAACTCATAGAAAATTATGTTTAGTTTCGGATTCCTTAGCTCAGTCAAACTCAGTTCATTCATCTATGTAAATTATGCGTAAATAAAATTTACTTTTTAGCATATGCAAAGTTATTTTGTGATAAATGAAGTTTAAGTTGAAAATTTGTTAAAATTCTACGTTTTTTTATATAATTTACCATGACTCCAAACTTGATTCAAATAGAAACCTGAACTATTAGATATCGTAATAAAATTTATATACTGTACACTTTGGAAGCAGTTTACATTTTTCCAACTATATTTACCAAAATAATTAAAAATTTGCTCATTTATTTAATAATTTAATATTCAGGATAACAAAAGCATGTTTTATATATTTTATATAGTAACTAAATTATTTATTTTATTTATATTACTATCCATAAAACGCTAAAATATGTAATCGATATGTTTATACTAAATTCGAAAATTTATAAGTATATTGAATTTAAAATTAAGGATTTTCCTCATTAGCAATGCTTTTGTAACAATCCGCTAGATTTATCATTAATGAACCATCATCAATGCAAGTACTTGATGATGAAATTGTTGACGAAGCAAAGGTGCTTGCAGATGAAAATGTTGAAGAAACAAGTGAGCTTGTTGATGAAAGAATTGTATCTGGCAATGAACATTTTGAAAAAATTTCTGAAATTTCAAAGTTAGCAATTAGTAAAAAGTAAGATAAATACATAATTTATAAAATTATTTACCTTCATTTTCTAATACATTTTCTCTATTATAATCTATTATTAACTTTTCCAATACCTCATAAACACATTCAGCTGTATGCCTTTTTTCAGGTTCTTTATCCCAACATTTGTTATATAATTCATAATATTTATCAGGAGTATCTGGCATCCTTTCTTCTCTATCTCCGCTTAAAATTATGTAATTTATTGTATGATCATGTTGATATTCAAAAGGAGCTTTACCGCTTGATATCTCCCATAATAGAACCCCTAAACTATAAACATCCGAATATTTTGTATAGGGATCTTGTTTTCTTTTTTCTGCCGTTAAAACTTCGGGAGCAACGTATGGAATCATACCAAATACTTCGTCATGTATACTCGTTACACATACTTTTTGAATTACCAAAGTCTGTAATTTTTGCTTTTCCTTGATGTACTACTATATTTTTAGCATGCTATATAATATGAAATTAGTCAAACTACAAAAAATAAAAAATAAAAAATAGAACTACAATAATTTGAAATTACTTACAAGATCTCTATGCAATATATTTTCTTTATGCAAATAATGTAACCCATTTGTAATATCCAAAGCCAATCGAAATTTTTTATTCCAATCAAGACTCAAAAACTTTTTTGAAAGATACATTCTTAAATCCCCTTCATTAGCATATTCCATAACGATAGAGTATTCACCATCTAAACCTAAATAAAATATTTATTATTACAAGTAAAAATTGTAGTTTAAATTAACAAATATTATACCTCTAAATTACTTTTACATATTCCTAAAACTCGGATAATATTTTCACAACAATGTGCTCTACTTTGTATTTGTATTTCATGTTTAAATGCTTCCCACATCTTATATTTAATGTCTGATGTAATAAATAATTTTTTATAAACTACATGATCACGAATGTTAGACCAATATGCTTGAAACACTGATCCAAAATTTCCTGCTCCTATCCTTTTATGAGAATTAAATTCAGACCATGCTATTGATTTAATCACTTTTCGTTTAATAGTATCTTCAATCCATTCCTTTGCTTTTTTTTCTAATTCATCAACGGATTCAGTCTGTAATCGATTAATATCCTTTGGAATTAAACTTTGAAAAATTCCATTTTGTTGGTAATTAGCAATTAATTCATTAAGTTCATTGAAGATAGTATAAAAACATGAACGCTCCTGTGAGTTATGATGCCAAGCTAAGTAGAAAAATTTTAATCTAATAAGTTTAATATGTTTTTCAGATAAAATAGTTTAAATATTAAACTTACTATTTTTAATAACTTTAAAATAGTTTTCTATAAATCGTTCATCATTATTTGATCTGATTTCTAAGGATTCTCTATACTTTTTTAGAACATGATTCTTTATCTTATGTGTACTCCAATATTGATAAGGAATTTTTTCAAAAGCAAGCTCCCACAGCAACATTCCAAAACTGCAAATTAAAAAAAATATATTTTTGTATTAATAAATAATACGGTTTATTTTAATAAAATGAGGTTGCAAATACCTAAAAGCTTCGCATTTCACATCATATTGATTAAAATTAAAATTTTCAATTTTTTCTGGGGCCATCCAATTAATAATGTCATCTATATTTGGAAATGATTCATAATATGTTCTTTTAGGTTTAGAGATACCATCGAGCATAAGATGTGCATGTTTAAAATTTGTAATTTTAGGTTCTAATCGCGCTGTTATCATAACGTTTGCGCATCGAATATCATGATGAAGAATAGAACAAGAATGCAGAAAAATGATGCCACGACAAATACCAAGAGCAATAGAAACCTTAATAAAAAGGAAAGCTTATTAAATGAATTATTTATCTTTTAAAGATTTATATTTATATTACTTCTTACCTTTGCAGTCCATGAAATATCATATGTATTATAAACATTACAAAGGTTTCTTAATTCAGCCCATTCATATATCATGACTAATTGATCATCGTTATGGGAAAGTCCATAAAATTTCAAAATATTGTCAGAGTCTCGAAGTTTTTCTAACATAGTAAGATGAGCTATAGTTTTAATGAAATCATCAAATTGGATTGTGATGGGAATATAAGCAACGTCGATACTATGTTTTATGGATTTTTTTACAATAATACCACGATCAGTAGGATTTCCTCCAAGGGGACCCGTAAGCTCATGTGGCTCTATTGTTATTGTTTTAATTGTCTATATTCAAAAAGGAAGAATAATTAAAACATTTTTTTAAAAAAATGAAAAGTTTCGTATATAATTTTTGAATACTTGCCGGTTGATCAATTGTTGTGATTAAATTCAAGTCTTTCATATCGGCCTCAAAACAATTTATCAATTTATAAAATTTGTTTGAAATAGTACCTAAACTTTTGGTAGAATTTTGTAATAGAGAAATATCCTTCATAAATTCCCTAATTTCTTCCATAACTTTAATAATTTTTTCAAAGATGCTTGTTCCTTGTACCTTTCTTTCTATATTCTTAATAGCAATTTCAGCTATATCAACCCTATCCATTAATGCATTGCAAATTTTTTTATTATATTGAGCTACTTCATAAATTTTATTAGTTTCGCTAATTACTGTGTTAATTGCAGTAATCTCCGACGATTGTAACATTATAATAGCTTTATGATGACTATTTAAAGCAGCTAAATTTAAATATTTCTTGCCAAGTGATACATCTTTAGTCACACCCATTTTACCATTAAAATATAAATCACCTAAATTAAACTGAGCCGTGGATGAATTATTATCGGAGGCTTTTATAAGATATTCGATAAATATTTTTTTATTAAATTTAATTCCTGGATTATCAATCAAGCTAAATGCATATCGTAGTTGTGCGTCTGGAAATCCATCATCGGCGGCTGCTTTATATAATTTTGATGCTTCAACTCGATCTTTTTGACAAGAATAACCTTCCCATAAATAATATCCTTTCCAATATTTGGCAGTTGTATTACCTAGTTCTGCGTGCGCATTAAAACATTCCCATGCTGTATCCCATTCATTTCTCTTATGAGCTGCAATACCATCTCGAAGTGGCATTATAGCAGTAAAGAATTCCATATCACGACCTGGCAAAGGCAAATCTCCTACATCATTAACGGAACCTGCTCTAGAACCATCAAAATCTAAAGTTTTATGGGTTTAAGAGCAAGTGAAGAATCGTATCCGGAAGAGCAATATGTTGTGTACAAGACATGTAATCCTAAGAAAATTTGCTGTAATGACGTTCGAATTTGTGGATCATCTTGCCAGGCTAATTAAGATAAATATATAGTTATAGATCATTTACAAAACACAAAAAAAAAATATAATTATAATTATATGATCTCTTACCAGAAACGATAATATTCGCATAAATTTCTTGGAGAATTTGAATATCAGGACTTGCTTTACTAAAAGCGATCTTTTCTCTTTTATTAGACAATACATATTCTCTTATTTTAGACGAATTCCAATGCTCATAGGGGACTTTTTGAAAAATCAATTCCCAAAGAAGCATTCCAAAACTTTTTTTGATTAGAATTTGAATTAATAACTTTTAAAAAAAGGAAAGAAAAAGGTAATAAATATACTTACCTAAATACTTCGCATTTAATGTTATATCGATAATCATAGTATCTCATTTTCTCAGGAGCAAGCCAATGAAAACTTTCAGTTATATCAACTAAATTAGTTGTTTCATCAGTCGTAAAACGTTCGTATTCAAAATTTGCAATTTTAGGTTCCAAACGTGAAGTCATCAGAATGTTTTCACAACGGATATCGTGATGAAGGATGGAACAGGAATGAAGGAAAATGATACCACGACAAATATTGAGAGCAATAGACACCTTAAGAATAATGTTAAAATGTCAACTAATAAAAATTAATTAAAAGATTTTTAATTTTTACCTTTGAAGTCCAAGAGATATCGTATGCATTATAAACCTCGCGTAGGTTTCCATATTCAGCCCATTCAAATACCATGACCTTGTGATTTTCGACATGAGAAAGTCCATAAAATTTCAGAATGTCGGGAGAACTGTGAAGTTTTCCTAAAATTACTAGGTGAGTTTTAAAATTTTTGCCATAATACGTTGGAATACAGGCGACGTCTATACTTTGTTTTAAGAATTTCTTTAATAATTTCTTTACAATATAGGGTTTCGTTTTCCCACGACGATCAGATGCTACCCTTTCAAGAGGATCAGTAAGCTCATTTGGTACTATTTTTTTTACTTTAAACGTCTCAGGTATCGGTAGATTATGTCGATTATGTCCAAAATAATTTAATCGATTTTTAATTAATATAACTTCTTGGAAAACTGTATTAATTTGATAATTATCACAAGCAATATCATCTCCAATCCTGTCTAAGAACTATATTTTTAAAATAAGAAATAATATTAATATTAATAAATTATCATTTTTAAAATTTTTTTTTTTTAATAAAAAAAATGCTGTTAGAACTGTCTTACTCTGGACATTTCGGCTATATCTTCAATAAGAGCTTGTTGGTCAATTTTATGCTGATCTGCATAAGTAAATGTAATTGTGAATTTCAAATCATTCATAATCTTCTCAAAATCGTTAATTAAATTATTAAATTTATCTTTAATAGAACCTATTTGTAATAATTTTTTGTAACCCTGTAGTTTAGAGACATCCAAAATAAAATCTTGGATTCTTTTCATAACGTTAATAAATTTTATAAAAGCTAAATAATAAATATTTTTACGAAAATTATTTTCATTCCACTGCATCCTTCTATTTAACATTTTAATAGCAATATCGGCTGTTTGAACTCTATCCATTAAGGCATTACAAGTCTTTTTGTTATATTCAATATTTTCATAAATCATAAAAATGTCTCCAATTACTGCTGTAACAGCCGCAATTAATGGTATATATGGTTTAATGAATTCCACATTTCCAATAACCTCTACAGTTCTTTTAGTTCTTTGAGTTTCCACTTGAGTTCCATTATTCACTTCTTTTTTTTGAGTTTGATTTTCTTCAGCTACTTCGGTTCCTGTAAACTTTACGGTTCCTTCGGTTCTTTGAGTATCTATAACACCTTTGGTTCTAATGGCCTCTGCGGTTCCACCGGTACTTACTACTCCTACAGCAAAGACCGTTCTTTGAGTTCCTACGTTTCCTTCGGTTCCTATTACTACCCTTATATCACCTTCAGTTTCTACATTTTCTTCGGCTTCAAGAGAATCCTTTTATCAATTAAAGAGAAAAACGGTAAAAATATTGATAAGGTTATAAATTTATGAATAAATAGTTTACTGTACCTTTGTTATTTCGGAATAATCTTCAGTTAGAGCAAGTTGATCAATTCTGCGTTGATCACTATTGGTGAAATACAAATCCTTCATCACGGTCTCAAAATCACTAACTAAACCATTAAATTCATAGAATTTTTTGTAACTTTGTAATTTAGAAACATCCTTAACAACATCCCTAATTTCTTTCATGACTTCAGTAAATCTTGCAAAAGCCAAAAAGTATTTCATGTTGCGAAAATTTTTTTCATTCTCTTGTTTCCTTCTGCTTAAAATTTTAATAAAATTTTCAGCAATTTGAACTCTATCCATCATTAAATTACAAAATTTTTTATTATTAGATTCCACATCATTGTAAATTTTGATAATTTCATCAATTACGGTTGTAACAACCGCGATTAATGGTATATATGGTTTAATGGCTTCTTCTAAAGTTCCGGAAGCTTCAAAAGCAGTCTTTGTAATATCAATATTTTTTGAAAATTCTGCGTCAATAAAAATAAATTCAGAAGTGGTGTCAAATATGGCTGGAAAATGTGACATCCGTATTTTTTTTTTTTTTTTTTTTTTTTGAATTATTAAATTATTTCATCGAAGTAAAAAATTTAAGAAAAGAACACGACATTTTTATAATGATTAACATACCTAAAATGGTTAACAAAAAAAAATACAAACTAAAATGACACGAGACACAAGATTATCTGATGGTTACAAAGAAATATAATTGTTCTATTAGTTCCAGTCCCATTTCTGTTTAGTTTAAATTTAAGTTTTATTAGTATTTAGTTAGACTTTTGTAGATCGATGGCCCAATTGTCCTGGCCAAATTGTCTGCAGGCCAATTTGTCTCCTGGCCAATATGCCATCCGGCCATTATGTTTCGAGGACAAAAAGTCCTCCGAACAAGTAGTCCTTGCTGGGTTTTAAGTATAAAAGAGGTGGGATTTCGCTTGAGTAGAATACATCAAGTGTTCCATATATTCCCTAGATAAAAAACGATAGACAACATTAGCATATATCCCCTTTCCTTTTATTTGTAACGATAACGAAAGAATATTAATAAATTACGTATCTGATCGTATAGAGCGCCGAAGATTGAGGCAATACCTTATTTACGTAGATTTATGTTAGATTTTATTTGTTATTAATAAAGACATTTAATTCATTTTTATAAATAAACCTTCTGCTTACCTTTTCTATTGTTTATAACCAATAAACGTTCGAACTGCGTGCAACAATATTCAATCGTCGTTATAGAATGTTATCGACAAAAATGGGGTGTTTATAAAGTGTACAGGAATTAATATTTATGATATAATTTCAAAAAAAGAATAGAAATATATTTACTTTATATATTCAGAACTTTGGCTTAACATTAGAGTGTATATAAATAGAGGCATTCACTTAGAATTTCACTTTATAGTTAATAGCAAAATAAATAAATTTGAGCACATTTCTATGACTTTCGTTTTTGCATGTAGAAATTCTATGACATATTTTTTTTTTATCCTCCTTCTTATACTACTCACCCTTTTCTGAAAATTTAATTGATTTCATGATAAAAATATTTCATTTTGGATTTAAAGATTGGTCCATTTATTTGCTTAATTGGGATTATTTTTTGAGACAATTCGAATATCGGCCCTTTTTAATGCCTAATTGAAATTTTGAAGTGAGCATGGAAAATTTTTCAAAGACGTTTCTTTAAAAATATATAGAGTAGAGTAACAATAAAAGATTTTTATTTGGATAATCCTTCCGTATTTAGAATGCAGTGTCATTATGTCCATGGACGGGTCGAGTTTGAACACTCCAGGACATGTCCAGGAATTTTAGCTGCATCCGGGACATTTGGACAATAAAATGCTGTGATATTAAACTATGCATTTATTATAAATACTAATTACATTAAATAAAAAATGGTAGGTTAGTTTTTAATATTTTTTTTCTATTTTTAATCATGGACAATTCTTGGACGAGACATTGGAAGGACATAATATTTTTTGCGAGACATTGTCCCATGTACAACACAGTTATAACGGTTATTTTAACGTTATAACCATATAATTGATATCCCTTTAAACTCAAATTTTTTTAATAAATGCGAGCAAATTTGTCTAAAATTCACATGATGTATCGTTAAGGATTAATAATATAAAATAACCTATTAGTCAAATTATTTAAAATAAATAAATTGAGTAATAAATCATTATAAAATATGTAAAATAAAATTCTGATGAACAGATTTTTTATAACAAAATTATTTTACTAAATCATTATCCATCCAACTCTTTGCGCAACAACATGCCCTTGTTGTCTCTGGTAATAAACGATTCCGAGTCTTTGTAATCACATTTCCAGCGATTGAAAATGCTTGTTCTGATGCAACACTTGTTGCTTGTATCGTTAGATAGTCTCGAGCCATATTACATAAAACTGGAAACTCATTTGAATGAGCTTGCCACCACAAGAGAGGTTCAGTCTCTTCGTCAATTGGTTGTTCATAACTCCGTTTCCGTTTCTAGTTCTGCTGAAGTGAGAATTTCATTTGTAGGTACTGCATTTTGTCGAAGTAATGCAAAATATTGTCGATTTCTTCTATTAGGAATAGGTGGAGCTAAATTCGTAGGCAAGAAGGACCGTTCATTATAGCGTTCAAATAAGTGCGCGAGCACTTGATTTTGATTCATCTGAAAAGACTGAGAGTTTGCTTCGAGGGTCTAAAATTGCAGAAGTAGTTGAAGCACTATCCATAATCATCCAGTATTCTTCGATCTTATGAGAGATTAAAGCTATGAGGTTTACGCCGATCCGTACACATTTCTAAGTTTTGTATTCTTTCATCTAAAATGATTAGATTCATCTTAAAGAAAGTAAAGCATATTAAAACAGCGTTATAAAGAAAGATATGCAAACATTTTTTTTTTTAAAAATAAAATATTTTTATTTTGTTTCATCAGACAGATTACCAGTTTTTATATAATGATTCCAGAAGATTTTTTTTTAAAATAATATTACCGTTATATCATCTTTTTAGATGGCAAATTAATAATATAAAAGCGTGCGTGTAATTTATGTGATATCTTTATAATAAATATTTCAAAGTAAATAAATTTTGATTACAAATAGTTGTAATTAAATTAAATGATAGCCATTTCTTTTTTTGTATTATTCTAATTACCGGCAAAGGCAAGAACATTTGTAATAGAACATAATTAGTGTTACGATAAAATATTTGACCGCGGTTTACATAAACTAGTTTTTGATCTGATCTTATTTTAAATAAAAATTAATTTCAAACTGAAAAGGCTTTAATCTTATACAAAAGCAATACATCACAAAAATCAGATTAAAATCCAAGAATGAATTTAATATTTCAATGACTTGCAATCATCACAATTCTTAAACCTAAATATCAAAAGAAATAAAAATTAAAAATTAAAAAGATTTTAAAGATAGTAATAAACCTGCTTCAAAATCTATCTAACTATCAATAAATTCATTATTCATATTATAATACTTTTTTTTTGTACAACTAAAAGATTGCAAACATCTATCGTTGTTAATTTATATTTTGCAAGTTCTTTGCGAGCAAAAAGGTATGACTAATGAAATGCAATGAACCTCCAACAACGATACAATGTGGACCATGATTGAATCTACAGAATCGGACTATGCATAAAAATTATCTAAGGCATATAGTAATCTTATGAGAAAAAAAATAAGATTTTCTTTAGACTTAATAATATCTATTGAATATATAGAAATCACATTAATCCAATCCAAAATATATATTAATGTTCTTACAATCTAAATAATTTAATTTTTTGGCGAGCTTGATCAAAAAAAAAGAATTTTAATTAAGGTTTCTAAGTGCGAGCAACTGTCAAAATAATATTAAAGAACTTACTAATAAAACATTTGAATTAGCTCTTAAAACATCAGGCCACCACCGTGGTTTTGGCACTATTGATCTTTGACTGCGCCTTGCGATTGAATTCTGCAGATACTGTATTGTATGTCGGATCTGATATTTCGGGCTTTTCTGACAGTTAACATCATTTGGGCAACTTCTGACATCGGACATAATACCTTGCCTATCCGCTCATCAGCAGCGATTTTTCAAGGAAAGAAAATTTTTTATGAAAATGCATTCTTTGCCTTGAGTTTCGTTAGGATTGAATTAGATAGATTCTTTTTCTATATGCCTATAATACTATAATAGAATAGAGCGTTGTGTGAGGTATTAATTGTTGTATTATGTTACATTTTGTTAATAAACTGTAAATTCCTTATTTCCAATTTCCAATTTCCAATTTCATTTACATCGGAATCTTTTTTAATAAATATATAATATTTTAATTACCTTTCCTACGAGTGTAATGCATCGAAATCTTCTCTCAACTAACATTTTTGATGGATATTTTTTTTTAAAAAATTTGCTTTCCATAAATAGGATGATAAATATGATAAATATAAAATTGATACATCTCTGACAACGGGTAGATCTTTTTAATCTTTTAATGCATGTAAAAAAAATATATATTTTTTTTACCAATAAAAAAAAGTTTCATATTACAACCGGTTAAAGATTTTTTTTACCGGTTAGAATATTTAATTTTAACTCCGGCCGAAATTTAATTTTCGGGCAAAATTGAGATTTTTAGTGATTACAAAATTTCGTCAAATTTATAGTAGTGCCGGCCTGAGTTATATTTAACCGGTTATTAGAATTTTTAATTTAAATTTTGATATTACATGAACAAAATATTGAATGTTTCGAACCGATCGGGTCAACCCGTGTTATTGTGTTAAGTCTTCGAGCGAGTCAGATTAGGGTCGCAATTTTAAGACCAGCCCGAATTAAATTAACCTGTCGGGTCTTGGGTTATACTTTTGCACATGACTTGGTATCAATGCTATGATTGGCGTAGCAAATTCAAAAGTATCAAAAATATCAAATATGTCTGCTTTTTACATACTGTATCTTATTTATTTTATTTATCAGTTTCATTTATTATATTTGTTTTATTTATTAAATCTGTTATATATATTAGTTTTATTATTAAATTTATTATATCTGCAAGTAATTGAAACAACGTTTTGTATAAATTGTTCGAGAATTCAATCTAGAGAAAAATAGAGAAAAGGCAAGCTTCTCTCAAAAGGCTTAATTAGATAATTTTAGTTTGTGAGTTTGTGATAATAAAAATTCCTAATTAATAAAGTTGTGTATTTTACCTTTCAATCTTCTTCGTGTCTTCATAAAGGTTTTGACGCGATAACTAACTACACTAGCGAATCGTAATAATTAAACACACTACATAAATTATACATCGGACAAACTTAATAAGAAGTAAAATAAGTGTTTGTTGACTTGAGAAAGTAAGGAAATCCCATGATTCTAATTTGTACTACACTAGAAATTTAAATTATGAACTTTTTGACATATATAACTAAAACTCATCCTGTTCGTAAGATTTTTGAAATTAGTTATTATTATTTACTTTTTTTTAAAAAAAAAATATTTAGAAATAAACTTAGCTTCATAATATTGGTGATGAATATCATGCCGTTATTTTATAGTGGAGCTTATCTAGTTGCAGCAGCATATACAATTCGTGCATGTATGTGTTGAAATCAAGGTTTCGAGGATATTTTTCGATGATTGAAAAATGAATTTATATTATACAATAAATAATTAATAAAAAACACCCGGTAGAATATCCATATTGAAATTTATTTCTCGGCATTAACATTATCCGTAAAACTCAGGTTGTTTCTAGTTTAACTATAGTCGGATCGGGTCAGGTTCAGGTTATGTAAATGCTGACCTGAATATTTTTAACAGTTCATTTGCCACTTTCGGGTTTCTCTGAAACCTGGCCCGAACTGACTCCTTCATAGCACTAAAATTGCATTATTCAATAACTAAAAAAAAATTACCTAAACCTTTGAACATTATTAGTAAATCGTTGACTATGAAGATAAATTATTCGTGATACTAATAACGGAGCACGTGGAGCACGTAATTATTATGGAGTAAAAAAAAATTTATTGATTTAATAATAACAAATTAAGGGGCAAAAGTACTTAAATTGATAGAATGAATAATGAAATAAAAGATAAAAAATTACATATAGAAGAAATCTAGCTTCTATCTACTGAGAAAATAAAGTGGAAGTGTAGCCACTAGTACGGCAAAAATGCGTACGATAAGCGTAGTTCTAGGACGCCTCTCTATAGTGGATAATGGAAAATAAAATGAAAAATTAAATTTTGACCTTGTCTGTCGCAACTTTTACATAAGGACATTTTAATTTCTTCGGAGTTGCCCAACTTCTTGCTATAAAGTTTTGAACTCGTCGAACATTAGAAGGACTTGTAAACATTTGAACTTTCATACGAAAATAATTATATTGGAAATGAAGGGCTACATGTGATGAATGTAATTTTCGATACCTAGGGTAACGATGAAAAAGATGAGTAGAAAACGCAGTTAGTTCATCTTGCAGACAAGTTGTTTTGGCAAAGTATTCTGCTATCTGTTCAAGTGTTGCTGAAGTTGTAGCTGTTATAGATGATTTTCTGGTTCCAAGTTATTATGAAATACTTAATTCTGTCGGTGATGAAAAATGAAGGCTTTTTTGAGCTTTGCTCACGATATAAAATGATAAAATAAAGAAAATTCAAAAATAGAAGAAACTCTAAGCGAGATATTTGCAATCAAAACACGTTGGATAAATTTAAGTCTGTGATTTGAATGGAAAATAAACATGGATTGATCCACACGTGAACAAAATAATGTAGTTCATCATGATTTAAAAATTAATTAATAATTTATATATGAGAAACAGCAAAATTTATATAAATCAACATTTTACTGTTTGGTAATAGCGTGGTGAAGCCTTTTTGGGGATAGAATATCCAAAATCTAAGTGTTTTTTTTTAATTTAATCCACAAAAATAGGAAAAACCTTAGGATTAAAACTACTAGGGAAAAGATATATCTTTAGATATAAAAATAGAATGAAAAGGTGAAATAGGAGGAGTTTAATTAAATATTATGAAAACAAAATTAAATCACGTAAACGAAAAATAAAAAAAAATTTGTTCACATTGTAAAAGTAGCTGAGCTTAAAGTTTTACAAGATTACAAGATCAAAAATTTTAGAATACGTATTTTATTTTTACCAAGAAAACAAATAACGATAAATTGAAAATTGAAATTATATGATATTATATTCTTTAGCGTTGCATTTAGCTCTTTAAAGTTTATAATTATAAACAAAAAGAAAATGTAGTAAAAATGTTTTTAATTAGGTAATAATGAAGTACTGCTTTCTAGTGCTCCGAGCCGGTCGAATCGACCCGGGTCATTTGACCCGACTCGAGAAAAAATTCGAGTCGGGACTATCATT